GTGGATCTAGATGAATGAAGCTCTAAGGCTGCTTACAGACCTAAAAACAAAACAAAATGCCACTTTGCTTTAAACTTGGTGCACTCCCACACCAAGCCCAGAGTATGCCCAGAAGAATCATTGCATTAGTTGGACCTGGCTTGCTCAATGTCTCTATAGATCTGGCGCTTTAGTGGGGCTTTTTTGGTGCTTTTATCTAATAGCTGACTGAATCAGCTATTAGATAAAAGCACCAAAAAGCCTCACTGGAGCGCCACCCGATCTATACATTGAGAGAGAGATTGCACGTCTGGAGGAAGTGTTGGTTATTAAAAGTGAAATTGTTGTGTGTGAGGATGCAGTGTATAAGGTCAGTAATATCTTTGGGTCTGTACTCTGAGTTGTCATCTTGCTTACCTACCTAACTCCAAAAATGTAATATCCAATGCACCAAATACCTGGATGGAAAATACATAAGAGAGACCAAACAACAACTGCACACCAAAATGAACACACACCGGAAATCTATTAAAGACAATAATACCCAATTAGCAGTAGGGGTACATTTCTCACAAGAAAACCACTCTCTCTCCAGTCTCTCATTTCTGACCCTCAAAGGGAATTTACAAAACACTTTTCACAGACGAGCCTATGAACTTCACTTCATCAGCCTACTAGATACAAAAAGCCATGGACTAAATATACACATTAGATTTATGACACTGTAACCTGCCTGACATCTGACTCCCCTGGTACCTCTTCACTATTTACCTGCTACATTCATCCGCAGCCTGTCTCTCACCCACTGACTCCTCAATTTACATCTTCACTGACTGGCTTTCTTGCATATATATACCAGCCTCTGGCCTCTTTACTATTTATTCCATCCAGGAAAAGCATACACACCAATTGCAGATTCTGCCTCAGCCTGACGAAAGGTTTTTAAACGCAAAAGCTTGCTAAGAAATTTTTTGTCCAACTATTAAGTTGGTCTAATAAAAGATATCACATTTACCTAAAGAACCTTGTCTGTCTATGTCCTTAGACCAACATAGCTACAACCTACACCCCTGGGTGTAGAGAATCTAATTATTGGGGGTTGTCTTATAATCAGGGTCATCTACTACTTAAATATATAAGGTATTACGCTTGTGACAAACTGGTAAAAAAACAAGTTCAAAGTTAATGAAACATTAACCTTGACTCTTCTTGATTCTGCTGGCTTGCTTAACAGTCTGAGGGCTGTGTTTTGCTGTTGACTTTGGTAGGAGAAGTACATATATAGTCGAGTGCAAAATATAGTCCACAGTTATTTAAATAGCTTGTTTTGGTTTAGTTTCAAATGCATTATTATTTTTTTTTAGTCATACATAAGCTGATAGGAAATGGTCAGAAGGGTTTTTGTGAGTAAGGATATGGCATCAGAATTTTAGAGAGATTTTCTATCCTTGTCTAAGAATGAATGAATGATATGACTTTTCCAGGTGATACGAAGAAGCAGCGATGAGGAAAAGTTGCTTTGCTTGGTACGTCAGCGTGCAGGACATCACTGCCAAACTGCCGTCATAGTGATTCTGATATTGGCTTGGGAAGGGATTCCTCATCTTCTGGCTGACACATTGTATAAAGAACTGACTCAGAGTCTCCGAAAATATGGCTGTCCCACAAGCCGTAGATGTGCATTAAATGAAGAGTAAGTGAAATTTATAGCACCTGGTTGGTTTTCTTGGGTTTTTCTGTTTTTTTTTAATGTTTCGACTGTTGGTTTGCATGAAGGAAATAAACTAGACTTAATAATCTAATAAGCATAATGCATGAGCTTATTTAAACATACAAACTGCTAGTATTCAATTTAGTGCAGTGTTCGGTTCATATTCTTTATTAAAGGCCAGACTGTGACTGATCCTTGTGCTAGGTGTGCTTGGGGGAAAGAAGAATGATTCTTCCCTCCCTTATTGTCTTATGTGCCCTCCATCAGGGCCAAACACAGATCTAGTCCTTGTGATGAGAGGATCCAGTGGTTGCTCCCTCCATTTGAACACTGGACCTTTCATTACACCAAATAAATTAGAAGTGGGTGAACTGTCTCCATCTCTATACCCACTAGCAGAACTGGTGGCTATTTGAAGAAACTATGTTGTACCACCTTCAGAAAGACTATAGCATGGGCCCCATGTCTGTGGTACAGTTTCTCCATGATCTTCCACTTCACTGCTACTAGTATGAGTCGTATCAGGCACAGAATAGTTCATGTCTCAAAGTGAGTTGTTTTTTTCAAAATTTTAAGAGTCTTATAATCTTAGCTAATACTATTTTAGTTTTACTCATACTTTGTATGGATTTTGACTTCTCCTGCTTGGTTTTCTTATTTGTAGACATAAAATCATGTTTTTTAGAGGTTCCACTTTGGGACTGCTGAAATAAATGCGAGTCATAGTGAGTCAGACATTAAGCTACTGTAGAGTGGATGGGAGCAGACTTAAAATAAAGATTGCTCATCACTGACCTTTGTTCTCTTTTATATACCCACCATCCTCAACTGTTTCCTCTGTTCTCACTGGTAATGACTTCCCTGAATTTTCTGATTAAACTGAAATCCATGGCTGATAGTAAGCCATATTCCAGGACCCTAAACTGTGTTAAGAGAAACATTTTTGTTTTCAGCATTACCAGCTTGGCTTCTTTTAGTCAGTTCTCATTTCCTTGCAGTTCTGACTACATGTGAGTCTTCCTCTCCCTCTATATAAGTTTTCTATATAGACACTCAGAATTAAAATACCTTCTTGTCCTCATTCTTTAAGGATGAGCATTTAACTGGCCCCTTCCTTGTTGTACTTCTTCTGGTGCTGCTCAGAAGAAGAGAACAAGTCATAATCAATCCTCCTAATTTTCAGACATGAGAATACCTAGGCACTCAAGCCAGAGTACTCTTCCTCTGCATGCCTGAAATGAACCTGCCTTATCCCACTGGTTTGTCAGTTGACTGCAAAACTTACTACATCCAATTAAGCTACAGGAGCATACATCTCAACCTCCATGTAGATTCTTGTATGGCCTGAATCTAATCCAGACCCTTTTACAACTCTTTAGCACCTCAGATCTCCGTTGTGTTTTTAATATTTCCTCCTAATTAGCATGGCTCCATTTTAAAATGTGGATCAGATTCTACACATAAGCAAAGCTTTCTACAGTATCCATTTGGGTAGGAGAAACAGGAGTGAGAATGATACTAGTTTGCAATTTTTTTAATTTGTCCGGCTGGAGAAGTCAAAATTACATTGATATGGGTAGAACTATAATGTATTTTTGTTAATTTTAATTAAATATTTTGGGAGTGTCTTCAAAAAGAATGACTCAATCATAGTCATTGTTATCAGAAACAACTGATTCAACATTTAATATATATTTTATAAGTCTTTGTGTTGTTCTGTCACATAGTATAAAAATCATATAAGTGATGACTTGTATCTAAAGAAACATTTTACCTTGCCAACTGTCTCTCATGAATTTACTGCTGTCTTAGCCGTACTTGTGCATGTCAAGGACTTGATCCTGAAACTTGTGGAGCATCATTCTCATTTGGCTGTTCGTGGAGTATGTATTTCAATGGTTGTAAATTTGCAAGAAGCAAGACCCCCAGGAAATTTAGACTCCTCACAGATGACCCTAAACAAGTAAGTTGTTTTTCAGAAAAGAATATGAACAAAAATTTAGAAGAGAGGTATAGGTGGAACCTACAGATTTCTATCCACCCACATGATACTTACGCATGCCAACCCCCAGGACACTGCTTATGCAGTCACCTTTCTCAACACGTCTTAAAAATGAAATCAGTCTTCCTGTGTACTGTAATGCTTTAACATTTATTCTAAAATGTTCTTCTGTGTTTAAGTAAAATGTTGGTTGTGTTCATCTGCATTTTTCATCATATATGAATATCTAATACAACAGAACCAGTTAGTACAAGTAGTAACACTATGGTTCCACCATTAAAAAACCTGTTAATAAACTGTCCTATGTGCCTCGTGGTGTATAGAGCCCAGGGCTTAGGTGAGGAGTGGGACAAAGCCACAGGCAGGGACTGGGGGTGGCAGCTGTCTGCTGCCGTGCACGCTCCTGTGGAGGGGGATGGGGGGGCACATGATCCCAAGACTTGTGCATAGGGCGAAGGCAGGCTGCCCCCTGCAGGCTCAGGGATCCCTGCCTTGCAGCCCTCTCCCTGGGAGCCTTGCACCAGCCCTGCTGCCATGGAGAGACACCCCCTGCCCACCCAGAAGCAGCGAGTGCAGTGGTGCAGGGTTGTGCCCCACACTGGAGCTGGGTGGGCAGTTGGTGCCTCACCATGATGCTGTGGCCAGCGCAGGATTCCCAGGGGAAGGGCAGCAGGGCAGGGAGCCAGAGCCTGCAGCGGACAGCTCATATCCGCCCCTGCTTCTCCACGGGCTCTGCTCCGGCCATACCAGGGGTGCAGGGCAGGAAGGCATCACCTTAGGCAACCCCTGGCAAAAATAAAAGGGCCATCATTTTAGCACAGCACCACCCCCAGGCAAAAATAAATCAGTGCCTATGGAAATGGATTCTACAAAATTTCACATTACACAACTAAAAAGTATCCAATAGATCTGTTTGATATTAGAAATCTTTTTGAAAAGGAAGGAAGGAAAGGAAAGCAGTAGAGATCACGTTTTAACTCCAAAATACCTGCATTAGAAATGATGGCCTGACTCCTGACTTAAGAGTTGCCATGTCTACAAGTAACTTCAGGCCCCTTTTACTCTTTCCAGCCCTACTTCTCTGGAGATTTGACAGAAAAAAATACTGCATCCTGAACAATCAGTCTAATATATTTTAAAATACATTTTCAACATGCTATGTGCAAGTTTCCAGGAATACATTCCTACTGTTTTCTCATTAGCAAAATTTTCCAACTTGTTGAACTCCAGGCAGGAGTTAGAGAGTTGTCTTGTTTCTACATGCAGCAATGATGTTTGTAGTTTCACATAAGAGTCAGGCCAGAGTTGATTCAGATCAACTGTGTAAATATCCTGTTAACCTTTCCCTTTTTATAGAGCTAATTAAAATCCCAACCACCTGCATTGATGTATTCCAGTCAGTTTAGCTATTATATGCTTAAAATTACTGAAATAAAATTCAAGGTAAAGTTATATCACAAAACCAACATTCATTCATCCATTCATTTGGTTTGTCACTAATTTTGTCAGTAGATATTTCTTTGTCTTAGCTAAATGTTGCATATTGATCATTTTGCAGATGACATAATGCTAGGAGCTATAGCAAATTAAGAAGAGGATAGATTCAGAGTACAGAGAGATTTGGATCATTTTATCATTTGAGACACTGGACAGAGTGAGATAAGGTTTAATGTAAATAAGTGTATTATACCTTTAGGTAAGAATAGTATGTAGTATAGATGTAAGGTAAGGATCTGTTACCTGAAACGAGTAAAAAAAACACGTGGCAGTTTTAATTCGTAACTTGAAAATTGTATGAGTTCAGAAGATGATGTGCCATTATATAAATCTAATATGCCATTGAAAAGTGTGTGTATATATGTATCCATGTATATGTAAATAGATAAACACACTCTGAGAAAAGGAGATTTCTTACAGAAGAAATGAAATAGTACTTGTCACTTCGCAGTGTATTTTGTAAGAAAGAAGCTAGGATTCCACTCAAAAGTCTTGTCTTCACATTTGAAAAAAGGGGAAGGAATATGTCACCTCATGTTCAGTCTGTTGCCTTTGATTTCCCCAACTGCATATTGAGACTTCAGGGAAAATGCAAACATTTTGGGGCTGTAATGGTACAAGTAACAGGGTGTAAAAATATATGATAACAGAAAGCCATCTAGTTGAGTCTATTTTTATTTTACCATGTCTCTGAGGAACAGAACACTGACTTGGCCCTCCACCAGGGCCTCAGCTGAGACCCTTGCATCTCCAAAGGCAAGAACTGGAGAAGATATCTCCTTCCTTGGGCACAAAGAATGAAGAAGCTAGCGGGGTCACCTGGCAGCAGTAATCAGCAGTAGTGTAACTAGGGGTGGGCAAGAGGGGCAGCCAGCCCACATGCCAAGATAGGAAGGGTGCTGGAACCACTCCAAGCCCTGTGGAATCTTGTCCTAGCAGCTCCATGCCAGAAACTCCAAAACAGTTCCTGACTGCCATAGGCAAATTAACACATGGGCCAGCAGGGCCCAGGGCCAGGGACCCCTGCCAACCAGAGGCCCTGCTTCGGAGGCAGATTAAGATTTATTGGGGCCCTGGGCAAGCACAAAATTGGGGGCTCCCCTCTAGAAGTGCACTGATGTATCGGTCATATATCAATTTAGCACTGGTAAAAGGAAAATCAATATTACTGGCTATCAGCTTTTTTTTGGACCACGTGACCAGTTAATGTCACGGATAAATGCCGCATGCACGTGGCCAGGAATGCAGCTGCACAACTTGGAGAGCAACATTCTGCCAGTAAGTCTGTGGGGAGGAGGGGTAGATGGAGGCCCCAATAGTGAGGGCGGCTTATCCGGGTGGTGTACAGGGTGGGGTGGGGGCAGCTCCCTGCCACTGCATACACCCCTAGGGGAGGCACGTGCACTCCAGATTTGTGTGTGGGGAAAGGGGGAGCTGCCCACTGCAGGTTTGGAGTCAGGGGCTGCGCCAGTCTCTTCCTGGTTGGGGGCTGGGGTGCGCTCAGTGGTGCAGGGCAGGTGATGGTGGCATTGGGTGTGGTGGCTATAGGAGGGGTACAGGGAGTTTTGGAATAGCCATTTCCCTCCCCATGCCTCTCTTAGCACCACCCCTGCTTGGGGCACTCGTTCCGCTGCCTTTCCCTCAGGAGCCCCACGCAGAATGCCCTGAGCAGGGGTGGTGCTAGGAAAGACGTGGGAGGCTATAGCCACCCCAAAATTCTCATAGCCCCCACATAGCTACCCTTCCCAGCGCTGCCGCTGTCACTTGCCCCTCGCAGCTGAGCCCACCCTGCCTCTGCCAACTCCAAGTCCAGCCCCCCTGGCCCCGAGTCCGCAGTGGGCAGCTCACCCTCACCCTGTGCAAAAATTAGGGGGGGCACACGCCCCTCATGCCTCCCTCAGGAGTGTGTGCAGTGGGGGGAGCTACCCCCACCCAACCTCCCATGCTCTCCTGATGAGCCTTCTGCAGCTCTGTCCCACTCCTGGCCCCAGAGTTGCGTTTACTACCCTGGCTGGGCAGTGCTTGCCCCTGCCATTACCCCAGCCCCTGCCCCATTCCCTCACCACTGGGCCCTCCATGTGCCCCTCCCACGCCCCTCCCTGCCCCAGATTTACTGGCAAGACACTGCTTTCCAAGCTGCCTGGATGCTGCCTGACTGCATTCCTGGCCATGTGCATGCAGCATTTATCCATGACATTAATTGGCTACATGGGCCAAAAAAAGCCAATAGCCAATAATGTTAATTTTGCTTTTATTAGTGCCAATCCAATATGCAACTGATATATCGGTGCACCTCTAGAGGGGGGCTCTCAATTTTGTTTTTGCCCAGGGCCCCAATAAATCTTAATTTACCTCTGCATGGATGCTGTTGCTGCTGCTTTAAGAACAACAGCCAAGGTAGGCAGAGTATGAGGTAGCAGTAGCACAGCCAGGGGCTGGTTAGGAGATTCCAGCATGGGTAAGACTACTGTGCCCCACTCCCCTTCCCTCTGAACTATCATGCACATCTCACTTCCACTCGCTGAACCTTTGTATGCACCCCCCTTGCAGCTTTCCCATAGGCTTGTCCATGGCACCAACTCTGCTTATTACAACTCTGATAATCAACAGGATTTTTCAGCAGGAACTCTTACCAGCAGTAAAAAAAAAACAAGACCCAATAAGCAAAAACAGTGACAAAAAAGATTTCCCAACATGGTAAGCAAATGCCCGCCTTCCCTTCCAGCTGTTTTTGGAACAGCCATCTTCTCTGGAATACCTGTACAAGAGAAGAGAAAAGCAAAGATGGAATTAACCCCTTGTCTGCTGTGGTTTTTGTCAGTTTTGATGCTTTTGCCATGTACTGTTTGTGATAGCAAGTTTATTTATGGCCAGTAACAACAACCACAGGAAATAAGATCAGGTAAATGAAATATAAGATACAGGCTGCATTAACTTTGAATCTTGGCTTTACTAGTTTAGGTTAGATGTTTTAAAGTAAACTGCAAATGATAGGTTATAAATATTTTTTTGTTTTCTGTAGGAAGAACTTCTTGAAAATAATTTGCAGATGTTAGCCACCGATGTGGCTCCCGTTTATAAGAAACTTGCTCCTGAAGCTTTTCAGAATCAGGTATGTCTGTGAGTACAGGCAGTGTATCTGCAGGCTTGAAACAAGGGGTGCTCAATCCCTCACCTGCCAGCCAGATCTGGCTCCTGGCACTCTGTCTTCTGGCATGCGGGGCTCTCCACAGGTCTGGAAATTGGCAGCAGTAGAGCAGTGGTCATAACCATGGAGAAACACAAACCCTATGCACTGGATCCAGATGTGTTACCCTAGGGTGCAGAGGTGGGCATCGGAGTTACCCAGCCCCAAGGCTATATCCCACCATGTAGGGTGGTGCTGGGCCCTATGGCCCAATCCCAGTGCTTGGGGCAGGGAGGGGACAGCTGTGGGCCCCAGGGCCAAATCACAGTGCTCAGGGAAGGATAAGGGCAACACTGGACACTAGGGCCTGACCCCAATATGTAGGGGCAACCAAGGGCCTGCAGTCTGATTCAGGTGTGCGGGGTTCAATCCATCCTTCAGATGAGGCTCATCTGGCCTACAGAACCAGAAGTTTGAGCACTACTGCTTTAAACAACAAAGAGCTTGCCACATGACGACCCCTCTTCCTGCCCACTTCAAATACACTTAAGACTAAAATGACCCCTACTAAATGTATAGGGAGCAAAAAACTTTACTAAACTGGACATCTTTGTCTTACATTTCTTTGAAGGCAGGATAGATATGTACCTTTATAGACTAACTAAATAAGCTATACATTTCTCTAACATTTTTAAAGGGCCTATGTTTTTCCTTTAAAAAAGTTAAAATCCTTCTCAACTAAATGGAGGACAGCTTCAGACATCACATAAAATATTTTATTGTAATAACATTTTATTGAAATCTTACAGATCAATAATTGGGTCCATAAGTCCCATAAATAACCTTTCATTCAGCAGTGATTCCTTGCATTCATGCCCTTTGATATTCAGCATCTTTCAGGCAAGTCAGACCAGCTGATGGAAATTTTTCTCTCAGTTTATTTTAATTGTACATATACGGTTTCATAGATTGTCAGAATTGTGGTGTCAAAGATCCAGGCAGCTAGGAATCCCATTTTCACTCTGATTTCCTGCATTGCTTTGGCCAGCTCCCTTCAAATCTTGAGTTCTTTGTTCTGGATAAATGGACAGATAATATGGAACAATCTTTGTAACTGAAATGTTTCTCCTCCTCAGTTCATTTGTATACCTTAGTCCTTCTGTCTGTTTGAATACTGCACCCCTCTGGGTGGGCATGAGTGACACAAATTAAAATCAACATTCCTTCTTTAGAACTCTAAAGCTTTGAACTTTCAGCAGTAAATAGCACGTTGATTTTACCTAGTCCTTCATCAGTGTGTATTGGAAGGAACCTAGAGGAGAGCAACAAAAATTGTTAAAGATCTTTCTAGAAATTAGTCCATATTGGGCAAAATTGAAAGAATTTGATTTATTTGTTCTGGAAAGGGAGTTGGGGTGATGTTCTTCAAACATAAAAAGAAAATATAAAGATGAAATTCAACTGTTCTCTTTGTGCACAGGGAACAGGAGAAGAAGTAAAGGACTTAAAGTATAACAAAGGAAATTTACATTTGATATTGAGGTTTGACATTGTTTATTAGGAGTCATTAACCACCAGAATAGATTACATTGAGCACTAGAACGGGTTCTGAAATTTCTATCTTTGGAAGGTTTTAAGTGCAGGTTAAACAAACATTTGTTTGGGATGGTTTAGAAAGAGATGATCCTGTATGATTTTTTTTATGATCCATAGTGTGGTGTTGTTACCAACTGTGGGTGTGGTTTCCAAAAAGGAAAGAAAGAAAGGACACAAGGAAGACCTTCATTTTCTTATGAAGTTATTAGCTTTCCTCAACAGGTTTTTTTGTTCTTTGGTTTTTTTTTCTTCCAGCCTTCTCCAGTCACATGTAAGTAAGAACATTGGTGCACAGCTAAATAACAAGTGATGAGAGTCGGAAGGAATCCCCCCTAGCACAAGTTTGGCTCATGACATTAGATAAATTAAATGGTGACAACACAAGAGAAATACCAAACTACTGAAAATCAGTATTTAAATACCTGGAATTGCCCGCCCTAATAATTTTACATACATGAGCACAAATACTTTCACTCAGTGTATTATTTGAGCATCTTATTCTATGTATGACTGCACATGAGCACCATTTCTCACTTTTGTTCACATATGGCCACATATCTTGAAATGCCATTGGGCTTGTAGAGCATATTCGATGGTTTACTGGCAGTAGTCTATACTGAATTTCTCTGAAGAACCCTTTATCACCAGCAAAAGTGCAATTATGCATTCAGCCAATTTTGAAATACTTTATCTGGGAGAAAGTGTCTTTCTGCTCTAGCCTATTGATCAGTTTACCTCCTAAAAATTTTAAGATTATAGAATCACAGGAAAGTAGGGCTGGAAGGGATATTGCAGGCCATCTAATCCAATCCCCTGCTCAAGGTAGGATAACCCCTGACTAAACTGTCCCAACCAACTGTCTGTCTAACTTTGTTCTTGAAAAATTTTGAGAATGGAGGTTTCACAGTTTCTCTAGGTAGCCTTTAACCACCATCTTAGTCAAAAAGTTCTTCCTAATCTGCAACCTAAATTTTCCTTGCTAAAGCTTGAGTCCATTGCTCGTAGCACTGTGCCCTTCCATCAGAGAGAAAAGCCTTTTCCTATCCTCACTGTAATTGCCTTTCAGGTATTTGAACACTGTTATCAAATCTCACCTCCCACCCCTCAGTCTTCTCTTCTCCAGACTATCTTCTGCAAACTAAATATACCTAGTTATTTCAGCCTCCTTTCCCCCCCAGACTTGCCTCCTAGGGGATCCTGCCTACCAATTTCCTGAGTTTGTTAAAGTCTGCTTTTTTGAAGTCCAGTGTCTTTATTCTGCTGCTCTTTTTCCTTCTTCCCCTCATCATTTTGAACTTTATCATTTTGTGGCCACTGTAATCCAAGATACCTCTTGCCTTTACCTTCTCTAGTAGTTCCTCCCTGTTTGTGAGCAGCAGGTCGAGAAGAGCCTTCCCTCTGTTTGCCTGTCTACCATCTATATCAAAAAGTTATCCCCATCACATTCCAGGAATTTGCTCAACTGCTTGTGCACTGCTGTGTGTTCCTCTCATCAGATGTCCCAATAATTACAGTCACCCATGAGAACCAGGTCCTGTAATTTGGAAACTTCCATCAGTTGTTCCACCCTTTGTCCACCTGTAGCAGACACCCACCATGACACCTTTCCTGATGCGCTTCCCTCAGACTGTTACCTAGAGGCTTTCAACAGGCCTGCCTTCCACTTCACACTGTACTTCAAAACACATGGGCTAGGGACACGCATGCAAAAAGCCTGAGCCCTTATTGATTCAGTCTTTGCAGGTTAGTCTAACTTGGCTAGGCTGAGTTGTTTTCCAACTGCACAGACATTCCTTTTGAACTGAAGAAATGCAAGCACATGCTTGCAGTGGCTCAGGCTAGAAGCTATGGGTGATAGAGCAGCCCTCCTTTCCCATCCACAGTGCTGAGCTGAGAGGGGCCGTAGGCAGGCCCCAGCAGGACGCTTCAATTAGGGAAGGGTTTCCCGCCTCGCTGCTCCTGACCAATAAGGGAGCCAGCACGGGATTGATAAAAGAGCATTTATCAGCCCAACAAAAAAATGAAAGCCTTTCTCATTAGTTCAAACTCTTCTTAAACAACTTTTTCCAAGGAAGGGAGGGACATTACCAGCTGACCTGTTGATTAACTCCAAAAAAGCCCTAAGCAGACGCTGTCCTGTCTGCCATTCTCGTGTCTGCCTTACACAGATACCTCTCAGTATTAGCTAGTATACCACATGCTGCCTACAGTCCATGCTATGACAGAGGGAAGGGGGGAATCCCTGCTTGAGTGGGGAGGGGACAGAGGGAAGCCTAGCACAGGGGTGGGGCCAGCCATGCTCTGGAACAGAAAACCCCACCCAACGCTGCAAAGCATCTGGGATGCTGGGGAACTCTGGTTTAAGTTAAACCAGGAAGGGTTTTGGGACAGACTGCATAAACCAGTTTGACCCAGATCAGTTAAGTCTGATACTACATTTAACCATGTTTATCTCAAACTGGTTTCAGCCATTTTCAGGCTGGTTTATGTGTAATGAACATCTGTTCTGTTACAGTTTTAAACCAGTTTCTGATCACTTAAAACTGTTTAAGTGTAATGTCTGTCCCTAGCCTGCATACATTGTTTTTATGTATAGGGCAACACCACCTCCCTTTTTCCCCCTGCTTATTCTTCCTGAACAAGCTATATCCATGTAGGATCATACTCTGGTCGTGTGAACTATACCACCATGTCTTTGTAATCCCAATCACATCATAAATCTGTATTTGTACTAGGACCTCCATTTTTTCCTGTTTGTTCCCCATACTTCTTGCATTAGTATATAAACATTTTGAGTATTTAACTAACTGTCCTATCTTCTCCCAGAGAATGTTGCTTAGGTTCCCATTATTGTTTTCCCTACTGCCAGGTCCCCAGGCACGTCACATACCTCTGGGCTTTTGTCTCTACCCCCCTGTCCCCATAAAATATCAATAGCTATTATCTATTGTACATAGGGAAATTTTCTTTTATACAAGCTTAATAATTCTTTGAATCTGGCTGAGCTAATTGTCTTGGTGACACTCGGGAATTAATATTGCAGTATGTTGCTCAAGACAATATTTACTCTTTAATAAAACAGTCTTCATAAGTACATTTATTTAGTTAAAAACCAATGCCACTTCGGCCTATGGAATCTTAAGTTGCTCAATGCCATCTCCAAATAAACCTCATGTATTTTTTAGGTGGAAAATGAACACATGGGCCCAGACTGTCGACTTGGATCTAAGGATGGTAGGCCTTTCTCTGGCGTAACAGCTTGTATAGATTTCTGTGCCCATGCCCATAAGGACACACATAACATGCACAATGGAAGCACAGTGGTATGTACTTTGCATTTTCTCAATCAGTACTGCTTACTGCAGTAATTTTTTACTTTTACATTTATGGGTGCATTTAGACGAAGATTTTAAGGTGCTAAAAGATTATCGGAGTGGTGGTGTTTTATAAATAACTGAAGGACTTGCTTGTTTTTTATTATTAGCCTGCAGAATTGTGTATGTTCCATCTCATACTGCAAAATAAGAAAGGTGAGGAAGTAATCTGATATAAAATGCTTAGAAATACACTAGCCCTGCATGCTAAATCTGCTACAGCGGGGCGGGCAATTATTTCAGGCAGGGGGCCACTTACTAAGTTGTGGTAAGCTGTCGAGAATCGCATGGGTAGCCCTGCCCCTTGACAGGTGCCCTGCCCCCTGGTTACCATCTTGGGACCAATGTCCCAATGTCTTGGGACCAATGTCCCAGGGCCAGCACTGGTAGGGCCCAGAGTGGGGCACAGGCTGGCAGGGGTCTGTGGAGCTGGGCTGCACCAGCAGGAAGAGGGGGGAGCTGGCCTGTCTCCATAGAGCCCCTGCCGGCTGGGACCCTATACCCCTGCCGCCCTGCTCTGGGCCCCAGCGGCGCTAGCCCTGGGACATGGGTGCAGGCCCTGCTCCCCAACCACACCCACTCACTCCCAGTGCCCCACCAGCCCCATGGTACAGGCAGGGGGCAGCGCACAGCCCTGACCCCCTGCTTGCCAGGAGGGGAAAGAGCTGGTGCTTAGCGCAGGGGGAAAGCAGCCCCTCCCCCACCCTGTGCCTGGACCTCCCTGCTGCAGCCGCTCACAGCCCGTGCAGGGCTGTCCTGAGCAGGCACAGGCAGCCCCAAGTGGGCACCTGCAGCATGGGGCACCAACCACAGGGTGGGCAAGAGGCCACTTCCCCGCCCCGCCCTCACTCAGCACCAGTAAATACTGCCCAGCACAGCAAGTGGTTGGGGCGGGGGGGGGCAGCTGCTGCCATCACAGTGCAGCCCTGATGAGTGAGCCTGGAGCCAGTACAGGGCCCAGCCTCACAGCGGGGCCGAGTTACAAGCTGATGCTGAGTGTGGAAGGGGGAAAATGGCCCCTCTGCTGTTCTGTGGTCAGTGCTCTGCGCAGCAGCTGCTCACAGCCCACCTGGGGCTGCCTGTGCCTGCTCAGGACAGCCCCACACAGGTTGCAAGCGGCTGCAGCCATGAGCTGTGGTCATGGGGCGGAGAAGGGGCCACTTTTTCCCTGCGCTCAGCACCAGCTCATCCCCTGCCCTTCCCCACACCCCCATCCCCTTACCTGAGTTTCCCACACTGGAGGAGCTGCATGGTCCCAGGCCAGAAGCCCCTGCTGGGGCTTTTAGCTGTGGGGATGGGGCTGGGAAGGCCCTGCTGTTGCAGGAGTTCTCCAGGGCTTCCCCTGGGTCCTACTGCCCTTGGTTCCTGTCATCTTTGACAGGAACCAAGGACAGATGCATTTTAATGCCCTACATTTTTAGTGGCCCTGCGAGCCAGATAGAATGGCCTTGCGGGCCATGTTTTGCCCACCTCTGTGCTACAGGATCTCTAACCTATTCTGAGTAAAGTTTTGACATCTGAAGTAAAAGAAAAGCGTGGGGGGAAGAAACAGTCTCTGTAGCCAAGAGCTGTACACATATCTGTACAAGAAGAGTTCATGCAAATTGATTCATTATCTCTTATGCTTTGAAAAAAGCATGTGTAAGACTAAAAATGACACAGAGAGGCTTCAATTCTTATGGATTTCCTTTTAAAGAAATAGATTTCATAGACATTAGGGCTGGAAGGGACCTTGGA